ACTTGCTTGACTCTCACCACAGTGACTTGGGACTTGCTTGACTCTCACCACAGTGACTTGGGACTTGCTTGACTCTCACCACAGTGACTTGGGACTTGCTTGACTCTCACCACAGTGACTTGGGACTTGCTTGACTCTCACCACAGTGACTTGGGACTTGCTTGACTCTCACCACAGTGACTTGGGACTTGCTTGACTCTCACCACAGTGACTTGAGACCTGCTTGACTCTCACCACAGTGACTTGGGACTTGCTTGACTCTCACCACAGTGACTTGAGACCTGCTTGACTCTCACCACAGTGACTTGGGACTTGCTTGATACTTGTAGGTCAAGACTTGAGACTTGCTCATGACTTGCACATGTAGGACTTACTCCCACCTCTGTTAGTTTGTAACGCGTTAGTCCCAACACTGACAGAGACACGCAGACACGTTGTGCCTTTTCACCTCTGCCCCTTACCTCTTACCCTTTTTCCCTCAACCTATTCGAGGGGAGTGCTGTTTCTTACCTCTATCTCTTAGGGTCAAAGTTCAGATGACTAGGGATTACTTTGACCGAGAAGCGCCGACCTGTGCCTTGCCTTGGACTTCTGTATAACTGCTCTGGTCTTGATGTGGGGAAGTTCATGAGATATTTTCTAAACCTAACCCTACACTAGAATACTCAGCTATTCCTCTTGTCCCACCTCCACCCAGCAGATACCCACCCCCTTCTCCAGCCCGACCCGTCCCCCCCGGCCACAACATCTATAGCCGCATCTCCAAGCATTACGTGGGGAGATCATCGGCGACATGAACCCCAACCTCAGGCCCGAGTACGTCCCTTCCCACCAGCTAGATGGCAACACAACAGCCAAAAACGAACACATCCTCGAAATCTGCCGGGATTCCCCTCTTTACCACCCAGCTGACGTGGTCATTTTCTCAATTGGTCTCCACAATAAAAACCAGAATCCCACATAAACTGTTCAAGTATTTGCACAACTGTAATCACACACTACCTTCCCTAATGCAGATGTTTACTTCTCCTTCATCAACTTCTCTCCATTTCTTACCTCATTACAGCAACAGACCCTCACATTTTCCCACACTGAAAGCCATTCCTCAAGACCAATTGAATACAGAAGAAGACCACCTCACCTGGACCCCCACCACAGCCCACCAGATATTCAGGAGCTGGTACGACCAACTATAACACCATGACATTCTAACACACACACACCCACCCACCCAGAGACCTTCAGGCCAGTGCAAACTACACCTAAACCGGAAACCCAAACACATCATGTCTGCTAATATTCCAGATGTTTGGATGGCAAAGAAACTTTAATTTTGTTTCTGTATAAAGGACTTGATGCTGTAGCCCCAGATGGAATAGATTTCATCTGTTGAATGCTCTAACTCTTCATTAAATAACACAACTTTGGTTTAAACTTCTTTATTCATTCATTTATAACCAGAAGGTGATTCATTGTGGAATTTCCACAACAATGGCAAAAAATGAATAATAGAAAAACTGCAGAAGCGTTTTAATAAAATTCAGACAGCAGCGATTTACAAGCGGCAGATGAATTAACAATAGCACAGATGTTAGTAATGGTAAGTGAACGTGTGTGTATGTGTGTGTGTGTGTGTGTGTGTGTGTGTGGCATTATACACTGCAAAACAAATCTAAACCCAAATAAACGCAAGAGTTTTATTTGTTTTATAAGTGTTCACACTGAGGATGTGCAGTAAGACTGCTACAAGCTCAAAGATCAATCGTATCAAAACATCAACATCGTCTCATAATGATGACATCAGAAGGAACTCTGCGCTCAGACTGGTCGCTGTGTTTAGGATCCTTTGGTGCCTCTGATCATCGCCTCCATCGTCTTCCACTGTTCCGGGGTCACCTGACACACACACACACACTCCTCATTAACATTCATTACTTACTAATAATAATCATTATTATTATATAATATGTACATGTTATTATATATATAATAATATAATTCTGAAACACTGACCCGCCGCAGCTCGTTAAACTCTCCGGCCATCGACACGTACTCCCCCCCGTCCAGCCGGATCACCTGAACAAAAGGTAATAACTCCTTAATATTTAAGACCTGGGATCAACTCTGATCAGGGATCGGTCTAAGCTCTGATCAGGGATCAGTCTAAGCTCTGATCAGGAATCTGTCTAAACTCTGATCAGGAATCAGTCTAAACTCTGATCAGGGATCAGTCTAAGCTCTGATCAGGGATCAGTCTAAACTCTGATCAGGGATCAGTCTAA